TTTTTTGTTTTTTTTTTTTTCAGTTTTTTTCTTGAGGGGGAATTTTGATGCCGCATGAAAAAAATTATGTCAAAAGCTTGAAGGGTCAAGGTCTCCCACATTTCTTGAGTTCGAGAAGTACCTTTTATAGAAAGATTACTTTGATTGAGGAAATCGGAATTGGAAGAGGCAAGTGCCACACGGGGTTGTGGCACTTTGTCTTTTTACTCACACGACAATAGTGGAATTGGAAAAAAATTTTTACGTACCGCAAAAATTTCAAACAATAATGACAATAATAAGGTGAGTGTCTACGTATTGATGGAAGGGTTACAAAAAAGAAAACAAAATTAAAATCTTTGTATATTTCAAATGCCGTTTCATCTACATTACATTTAGACCCTATTCCATCTTTTACTGATAAGCGAAATTTTTCCGCATGTTCCCCATCATTTAAAAGGTAGTACTTCCCTTCCTCTGCAATTCTCCTATACACCACACACTTGCATGAGTCCGCCACCCATTCTGCCAACCACAACAATGACAACCCAGAACAGAGAAATCTCATCGGTCAAATCCAAAGTCCACATAGACGACCTCAACATACGATCAACTTTCTCACCAGCCCAGGGCATAACCATCACCGTTGATCATGAAGTCGACGCCGATGAAGCAAAAGTGTTGGCAATGGGGTACAAACAAGAGCTCAAACGTGAGTTTTCGCTTTGGTCGTTATTTGGAATGAGCTTTTCACTATTGGGATTGTTACCATCAGTAGCTGCCACTTTCTTTTATCAACAATTAGTGATCGGAATGTCTCCGTTACCTTGGATAATTGCAATTATTTTCATAACGTCAGTGGCATTATCATTGGCGGAAATATCGTCGGCATATCCATGTTCTGCCGGTGCTCCTTACGCAACATCACAATTGGCGCCTCCTAAATACAAGGCTTTTTTTTCGTGGTTTGCTTATTGGACAAATTGGTTTTGTCAAATTACGGGGTCCCCTGCGGTTAGTTCCACTTGTGCCAGTTTGATGTTGGCTTTATACTCATTCAATTCATCAACGTACACACCGACAGCAGGACACATTTTCGGATTGTCCACGGGGATTCAAATTGTGTGTGGTATATTGTGCTCGTTGCCATTGCGGTACGTGACCAAGTTTTGTTCATTTACTGCTTGGTGTAATGTGGCATTTTTGATTATTGTATTTGTGATGCTTTTAGGTGGCAATCAAAGAATGGAGTTGAGTGAAGGAGCCACAACGAAGTTCAACTCAAATTCAACGGCATGGTCGTTGGAGAACCAAACTGAATGGCCACAAGGCTTAACCTTTTTGATCTCATTCTTGGGTGTGATTTGGACAATGTCTGGTTATGACTCACCATTCCATTTAGCTGAAGAATGTTCAAATGCCGCAGTAGCAGTACCTCGCGCAATTGTAATGACCAGTGTTGTTGGTGGTATTATTGGGTTTTTCTTTATGATTGCAATTGCTTATACGTTGGTTAGTATTCCACTAGTGGCTGAGGATACATTGGGACTTGGTCAACCATTTGTTTCATACATGGTGCAAGTAATGAAACACAAGTTGGTGGTTGCTTCAACTGCATTTACGGCAATCTCATCTTTTTTCATGTCATTGAACTGTTTATTGACGTCGTCAAGAGTGACATTTGCCTATTCAAGAGACGGATTATTACCAGGATCAGACATTTGGAAAAAGGTTAATCCAGTGACACGTACACCAATCTACGCAGTTGCAATCAATATAATCATTGGTGAATTGCTACTATTGTTGAAATTTGCCGGTGATGTGGCCATAGGTGCAATCTTTTCAGTTGGTGCTATAGCTGCGTTCACATCCTTCACATTGCCAACGCTTTTCAAACTAACCACAGCTAAAAACACGTTTAAACCAGGACCATGGAACTTGGGCAAGTTTTCCCAACCAATAGGGTGGGTATCTGTGGCGTTTGTGGTCATGATGATTCCTATCTTGTGTTTCCCCACAGTCAAAGGCAAGGACCTCCATCCAAAGGAAATGAATTGGACTGCGTTGGTTTATTTTGGGCCCATGCTACTCGTCACTATATGGTATTTTGTTGATGCGCATAAATGGTACAAGGGACCCAAGAGCAATATTGATGAGGCTGACATTGTGTATGATGCGGATGCGATTGAAGATGGAAGTGAAGTGGGTGAAGAAGAAAAGAGGTAATCTTTTATACTGATGAAAAACAGACATTAGCTTAGAGTTGGCACTCTATAGGTTGAGTGGACTGTTAGCCAGCTACATTACAGTATTAAGTTATTCATTATTTGTAAGAAATAAACCCCCTCCCCTCAATCAGCGGACATTGCACACACAAATACATGTTCCCACTCCCCGCAGGCGTGTATCTAATTATTAACACACTTGTCTGTGATCAAACACATGGCGAGAACCTGATACATTGGCCGTTATTGTGAGGTGGAAGAGAGACGTGATTTTCCTCGTGTGTTAACTTTTTTTCTTCCGTGTGTATGTGTATGTGTGTGTGTGTGTGTGTGTGTGTGTGTGTGTGT